AAAAACTCAAGTTTGAGTCTGATACTGACTCGACTTCTGGAGTCGAGTCAGTTCGGACAGGCACTTTAACATCCCTATAGATTATACAGGTGTAATAACCAAAAATATGGCGGTAACGATAGCCAAGAATATGGCGGTAACAATAGCCAAGATATACAGGTGATCCGCCGGTTCAGAACTCTAGAAAGAATAATAACCAAGAATATGGCGGTAATGATAACCAAGAAGAATATGGTGGTAATAATAGTCAAGATATACAGGTGATTCGCCGGTTCAGAACTCTAGAAAGAATAATAACCAAGAATATGGCGATAACGATAACCAAGAAGAATATGGTGGTAACGATAGCCAAGAATATGGTGGTAACAATAGCCAAGAATATGGCGGTAACAATAGTCAAGAATATGGCGGAACCATAGCCAAGAATAAGAAAAAATAGAGAGAAGGACAGAGAACGAAAGAGGTTTTCTAGTTCAAATTTGAAATCCAATTCCTGCAGACATTAAACGTAACACGCTTATTTATCTCATGTAGTCCTGGCATATTATTACTGATCAAATAATAAATACATTGTTATATGTTTGAAAGTGCTAAACCAACATGAGTGAAATCTTTATATTTTTTATCATTATTAAATTCACCGGGAAAATCATTTATACACATTTTAAGTTGTAGTAATCTTTAATGCATATTGCACAATTTCCAGTATATAGCCCTCCTCTTTGTAGGCATATATAAAAAATTCTTATACAGTAAACATTTATTTCTAAAGTTAATTTTTATATAGAAAAAACCACAGATAGACATATTTATATAAAACAAGCAACGCGTAAGGCAGAATTGCTTATGAACCAAGTTTGATTCATGAAGATGGACATGCACATCGTGATTTCCCACAATGAAATATTATACAAACTGATGGAAGTTATCCATGCATTTCAGATTTGGTCAAAGCTTCGAATGGTAATATATACCTGAAAATAAAAATATATTATAAAATATTTTGATATTGTTTATACAGTCAACTCTTCTTAAATATATCTCCCTTAGGAATATATGTATTAGAAGAGTGCGTGTTTATGAAGGCACCATAATCTTGGGGCGATTGACTGTACTGTGATTAATAGTTTACTAGTTTACAAACATTATTATGAAGTTTTAATAACCCAGTTTTTTCAACCAAAAATATATATATACACATATAAAACGTGTAATTCAAATTTTACAATTATTCGCTATTACTATATGTAGCATTAAATTTATATGTACTAAGTTATAAATGTAATTTATAAAATAAATTACAGTCAGACCTCTATAATCGTAAAATTGGGATCATAATGATTGTGTCCATATGTTGAAATAGAATAAATAAGTTCCTACACCAAAATAAGACGCTATCAATTGTTATCACGATATAAAATAAAGTGCTCACACTATGTCATGATATACTCTTCTTTTTCTTTTTTCCAATATCTTCACTCTTTTTACGTCTTTTAGCAATATTATCTATAAAAAAATCAAAAGTTCAAAAGTACATAAATACATACATCAACTTTAAATATTCAAACTATCGATATATACCCGCGTTTGATTGGTTGGGGCTTGAAGGCTGTGCGAGTGGTTGATCCGGAGTCTGTTTAATAAATAATAATAGAAGGTGAAAATTTATTATTTCGTAATGGAAAGAAAAGGCAACAATTAACTACAAAAGTAACAAGTCAACGAACTGCATCGGAAATAGTCATATCACTTTGACTTCCAGTTGTCAGCTCTTGTATTTTCTCTTGGGATTGCGCGAAAACTTGATTTAATTGTTGTGTCATTTTAATTGTAGTAGATTTAAATGCACTTTCTACCCCATTACGAAATTCCAATAATTCAGCAGGATCTTGTTGGGCTATTCGAGACTCTTAAATAATATCATAAATAAATATTAACATCTTTTGAAGAGCACATTGTGTATGTAGATTAAACACATCGTGTATGTAGATTAAATTACTTTTACTACTTGATGTTCCCAACTGAGAATCTCCGACTTTCCATGTATATCCGGTTGCAGGATGAAATTCAACTTGCTGATACGCTTTATTAAATGCCATATGTAATTGATAAAGACTTGTCAACTATTTCAAATAATTCTGGTCAGTCATTTAATAACGTTAAGTACATGAGCTTAATTTATTATCAAAAATTCTTACGACACGATTTCCGATAATTGAATATAAACTTGGTGCTTGATAAATATTATAATTCAAGATATAATATGTTGCGACTAAGTTAACTACGAATTTATTGAATAATTAAATTAAAATTTAGTAAAATTGGAATAGATAGAAATATTGACAAGGACTATATAAACGAACCTTCCCATTCACTAAGACGCTTTTGCTTTCGAATAACCCACAGTGCTGGAGGTCTTTCCTGTACCACTTGGAATTCAATTCCCTTCATTTTCCTATAAATTACGTAAACTACATTCGTATAAACATTTCGGAAACTGCTAATATATTAGTATATTCATAGATATGTATTTACTTCAAAAGTATGGTGAGATCTTTTAGATCATTAAAACGCGTTTGCATTTTCAAACTAGCGTTGTTGCACTGCGGATCCCAAAATGGTGACATCTCAAAGTAACTTAGAACATTATTCGAATTTAGCCCATCTGGTTGCTATGATTTAGGAATATTATGTGAAATTACATCATATGTAAGACAAATTTTTAGACAAGTTAACTTACCGCAAGGATCCATTCAACATCTCTCCAGATAATAGTAGTTGGATCAGGTTCGACCATTGCGTTCTCTTTCAATAATTGTAAATGCAAGTACAAACTCTACCAGGGCGACCTTCAAAATTACGGGTTTCCACTACCGCAGTTGCATTTAGTGGAAAATCCATTTGATTGGCCGATGATCATCCATTTTTTTAAATTATTTGATTGGCTGATAGTCATTTATTTTTTTAATTGGCTAGCGCATAACTTAGTTTCTAACTAATATACGATAAAGGGTTCGTGTAAAAATTTCCTCCACGTGACTAGATTATCTAATTGGAAACGTGAAACAAATAAATGTATAAACATTCAATCTCCAAAAAACACGTTCTCGAGCATTGTCTTGACAAATGGCTACCGGAAAAGGATCTGGCTCAAAGTTAAACCGTCTTCAATTTAAACAAAAACTTGTAACATCGTCGGCAAAACCAATTACTACACAAGAGTTGCTAAAACGTCTAAAGGTACCTGAAGCTTGGTTTATTTGATCTTTATATCGAAAAATACTAAAACTTTAGATTTATCTAAAAATAGAATTTATTTGGGGAAATTTCCAAAACGGATCAAGAAGAGATTGAAACTGATTCTTTAAAGACTGTGACTCGTGAACTTATACATAATACTCTACTCTCCCATAAAGATAAAGGTGTGAAAGCTTACGTCGCTTGTTGTATATCTGATCTTTTAAGACTTTACGCGCCGGATGCTCCATATACTGATAAGGAACTAAGGGTAACATATGCTGAAGCAACGAGCTCTTTAAGAAAAAAAAAAACTGCATTTTGGTTAATATAATTCATTTTAACATGTCAGGTCATTTTTGAATTTTTTGTTCGCCAATTTCAAAATGTCGCCAATACAAATGGAACATATTTCGATCTTTATTTTCATTTGCTCGAAAATTTGGCCAGGGTAAAGATAGTCTTGTTAATATTGGATTTACAAAGTCATGAAGAGCTTTTATGTGAATTATTCAAAATCATATTCGATATCGTCAGGTTTGAAATCATACTTTTCTCTTTATACTAATGCAGCATTTTAATCATTTATATCTTACCTTATGCAGACCGGATATGTCGAATACTGTTCGCTTGCATATGGCGGACATTCTTGAGCAGTTAATAAATGAAAGTCATTCATTACCTCAGGATGTCATCGATATTATACTTGCACAATTTTTACAAAAACGAAAAGTAAATCTTCGCTTTGTTTACACATTCAATCGAATTTAATTATGAATATATCATTAAATATATTTCGGTTGGGCGATTAGGACGAAAATCCAACAGCGTACAAATTAGCATGTGATGTTTGCAGAGCAACAACGGAAAAGCTTCAGCGATATGTTTGTCAGGTACGTCATATGAATTATGTTCTTGCTTTTAGAGTTATATTTAATACAATTCTAAATTAAAAATTTAGTATTTCACTGATGTTATTGTTGCTGCCGGCAAAACTGGAACACCCACAGAAGAATTAAATGATTTTAAAACAGCACATGATCTAATAAAGGAGCTAAATCGGTCAGCACCTGGGTTGTTACTCAATGTCATACCACAATTAGAAGAGGAGCTAAAAGTAAATAATTGAATGTTCACTATGAATCCTTCATGTCTGCATATTTTTAATTTAACGTTTTCTAGCTGGATGATTTGAATCTACGTATGCTCGCTACACAAGTTCTCGGCGAGATGTTTTCTGAGAAGGATTCCACCTTAGCTAGCCGTTATGATAATGTATGGAAGATGTGGCTTCTCAGGTTTGTTTTTGCATCACAATTAAATCTAAATTTGGTGATTTGCCATTTATATTATCGCTACTATACAGTAATTTGAATTTGCAGGCGAAACGATAAAGTAGCCGAAGTACGATGTGCTTGGACGGAATATTGCTTACCTCTTTACATTAATCATCACGAATTAGCTAAGCAAGTCAATGGTAGCTTAATACTATCTATTTATTATGCTAAAAAAGGAAATTAGCAAATACTTAGTCAATTACATGATTCAATTCCATTAGAGGCTATTATTACCAAGATGTCAGATCCTGATGAGAAAGTTCGTGTCACTGTATGCAAAGTTTTCAGCAAATTAGACTATGAGTGTGCGTCAAAACTTATAGAGAAGGAGCTTTTTATTGAACTGGCTAAACGTTGTCGGGATCGCAAAGTAAGACCCATTTGTAACGTATAAATTATAAAATTTGCCAATAGCTAAAAAAATTTACTTATTTGTTCTTTCTATTATCTATCTGATTTGATTACCTCTGTTTTGTAGCATGGTGTTAGAAAACAGGCCATAAATGCTTTGGCACGCTTGTACAATTTGGCATACCTAGAAATGTGAGCCTAATTGATATTGTATATTAAATGATTTAACAATGACTACAAGTACAATTTGATGTATGTGTATATTTTAGAGTCGATCACGATGCGAATGCAATCGAAAAATTTGGGTGGATTCCATCAGAAATACTAAATACACTCTATACAAATGATAATGAAATAATGTCGGGAAATTTTTTATCTATTTAATCTCCAATTTAAAGTCCGTCACTTAATTAATATTCATATTTTTACGCTTAGAGCGTGCGTTGAACAGGCCCTGCATGAAGAGATACTGTTTAGTAATGAAGATTCTGTTCGTATGGACCGTATTCTCGTGATATTTGGTTCCTTAGACGCGAAAGCAAAAAAAGGGTTTTTTTCTCTGTTTCAGAGACAAAGAGAGTAAGATTCAGACGTACTATATATTTATTTATGCTGTAAATTTATGGTAATCAATTATTGAGGAAAAAAAAAAATAGCACTATTAACGATATGGAAACATTTCTGAGATTGTGCGAAAGATATAAAGTTTGTATAGCCTTTAATTATCCTTTTTTTAAGTCTCCGCTCGATTATAATGTAGTTTTAAAATTTGAATATGCATAATGGAATCTCAGGATAACGGCACTAGTGAAGAAGTTGAAAATTTGTCTAATACTTTGAACCAAATTGTTCGACGTATCGCTGGTCAGTTGGAAATTAACATGGTTATGAATTAACAAATAACATGTATGCGCGCATTAAAAGTATTTGTGATACAATTTTATTTAGACAAGCTTCCAGATCCACTCAAGTCTACAAATCATCTATCTACTTTTCCTCAAAGTCATGATACTCGTCTCTACAAATTGATAAGAGACTGCATGAATCCACAATCAGATTATAAGACCGTTCGACAATCTGCTGTTAGTTATTTTCTTATTTTCTTATATTTAGCATCATTTAGGTTTTATCGATTTTAATATTTCATTAATTTTATACTAGAAAGATGCTCTCAAACGTATCGAGCAAATTGCTCCATCATCATCGGAAACATTTTCCATTCTTATTCGTAGGATTAGTTTGACAATTATTAATAAGGATTTAATACCTTTTCTTGTGACTAAGCTCAAATCGGCACACTCCGAATTACAAAGTGAAAACTCTATTGTTGCACATGAGTTGTTTAAGGTATTGGCTCTATAAATATATTAATGATACTAATTTTTAGTGATGCAGATATCCTATAAACAACGAGTTTCGATTCCATAACATGTAGGATATTTCATCTAGATTTCCTGCAATTCTTAAACCACACGTTGACCAATTAATAAGAGCGCTTAAGGAAGATGATGATTTATTAATAGGTACGATTACATTAATAATCCTTGAATAGTCAAGAATAGTCGAGATGATTCTAATTAACGTTACTATCTCAAAAAGTTGACGATAGTTTGGAAGCTCTTTCTAAATTGTCAATATCTTTTCCCGATGAAACACCGCAAGATAAGTATGTAAAGGCCCACAATAGGTTATTACGGCATTTAATTTATTACGCATTTTAATAAATTCTTTTAAAGGGAATCTATACAACGCCTTATGGATTATGCCCTTGAAGGGTCTTGCCTCCAAGCTAAATTTGCTGCTATTGTGCTAAGCCACATTCGTCACAAACAACAAATATGTGGCGAGTTATTAAAGGTTAGGATTCAGACTTTGCTACATATTCAAAATAATTTTATTCAAAAATAACGCTACATTTTTTGCATGTCACGTGCCCCATTCCATTACAGAAAATTGTGCCAAAACTTTCGATAACGTCTCCGAACATTTTAGCCCATTTATCTGTGCTAAGCCAATGTGTACTTTATTCTCCAAAAATTTATGAAGAAAAGGGTGATGCTATAACTAATTTCATTGTTAAACAACTCATCATGAATTCAAATCATAAAGTATGTTTGTACGATTCAACGGTTCAATTCTAAGCAGAAAATTGACGCAATATAAACATTTGCTTATTAATATTGTTTTTTTTAACAGGCTACTATTGAATCCGAAGTTGATTGGGTTGACGATGATGAGCTTGATGATGAGTGTAAAGCAAAGGTATTTATTTAACGCCATCAGTTGAAAACATGTGTCTTGACTTTTAATATTGGCAATGACATAGTATATGACGGTGAAAGGATATTTTTCTAAACTATTAACATTACCTGTTTTGCCAATTATCTTTTATTATATTATTTATTTGGGACAATAAAATTTTAAATAATCAAGAATTTATATACTACTTTAAAATAGGTGCTTGGCTTAAAAGTCCTCGTTAACCGTTTAGTGGCTGTTTCTGAGACAGAGGCAGCGGCCAATGTTGCAAAGCCGGTTTTCAAATTGCTATGGACGTTGATCCGTGGAGGTGGCGAGATCCTTCCAGATAAATCTACCAGGTAACTATTATATTGCAAATAAATATTGGTATTGCGTTAAACATTAATTTATCACCACTATGAAGTCCCTCCTTTCAAAGTCGCTTGCGCTTGGCTGCCGCGCGGTCTATATTGAAGCTTGCTCAAAAGAAAATTTATGATGGAATGATAACTGTTGAGCAATTTCAAGAACTGGCTTTAATGATACAAGTACAGACTTTTTCTTTTTTTTTTTGCGTTATAATATATATATATTTTTTCTTGATTAAAAAAATATTTAAATAAACAATAAAAACTGAAGGATCCATGTTATCAAGTTCGCTTGGCATTTGCATCTCGCCTTGTAAAATATTGTGGCGGATATCAACTTCATGCACGATTTTTGTCCATTTTCTTTTTGATTGCACATGATCCAATGAAAGAAATTAAAGATATGGTAAGCATTTGCATTCTTTTTATTAGTAAAATCATAAAATTATGTAACCAACTCAGTTCTTATGATAGGTAAAAGTGTTCTTGATCAGATATTCACAAACTGCGAGAACAATTCGTAAGTGCAAGTAACATTATGGCATTTTAATTATTTAATACTCTTTTAATTTGGATCACTTTTTTAGGCAGTGATAATTCTATGCTTATTGATATGACGTTAGTCCGGTTAATCCATCTTCTTTCGCATCACCCTGACTTTTCCTGTGAACCTGCAGGCCTCCGTGAATTTACCGTGTAGGAGATTCGTGTTAATTGTAGTTGAGATAATTGAAATGATTCTTACCATAATCTCGTATTTCTAGATATATTGACTTCTTCCTGGACACAATCGCCGATCGAGAAAACATACAATTTTTATTTCACATTGCTACACGACTAAAGCAAGTTCGTGATGCTCAATCTCTGGATCAGTGCGAGGTATAGTATCCATATGAACAGTACTCTAGTTGTAATAAAATATTTAGTGTTCATGGGCCTAATATATAATAATTGTCTAGAATATATATACGTTAAGTGATTTAACTCAGTATCTTATCCAAGCTAAGTGTAAAGCCCATTCATGGTCATCAGCTCCTTTTCCTGGTCAATCACAACTTCCTCCGGAGTTATTCAAAAATATACCAAATGCCGAGGTGGCATCTGAGGTGGGCATTGTTTATATTACAATGATTTCTTGAGGGATAGCTTGTATTTGACACAAAATCCGTTCTAATACAATCTTATTTTATGTAGATCATGAAAAAAAATTATATTCCAAGTGAGTTCTTGAAAGAATTAGAAAAAACACATGGATCTTCGCAAAGTAGAAGCGAAAAGGTTCGATACTGTGTTATCATGACTTTACAGCATTACAATTATTTATGCAAACCAATATTAAAATTTAATTTTCATAAGGCAAGTAAAAAAGGTCGTCCGAAATCTACTGTCCAAACTCCCACGAAGAAGCGCAAAGTCAATCCAGAATCTCCTACCAGAACGTAAGCTGTTATTTTCTCTTTGGGTCAAAGATCGAAAATTCTAAGTGATTAATCAGCTTGAATTGCTATTGTCTTTATTAATCAAAACATTCCCATTCATTTGTTCATAGACCTGCTCCAAGAGCTGCTAAATCTAAGGTTCAATCTATGGTTATCGACTCTGATAGCAGCGAAAATGACGACATGGACGAAGATACTGACGATTCGTAGCGTTAACTGGAATCTGGAACCACCGGGTTTTAGGTCCAGTGGTAACAATTAGGGTTGCGGCCCAAACCTTTTTTGTTTACATAGTTTGGTTTTAGAAAAAGGAATTTCTACTTGATTCAGAATAATATCCAAAATCTAAATATATATCCATTCTGTTAATAATGTAAAATTCAAGAATAATCAGATTTATTAAATCAATGCTATAAACCATTAAAACTTCGTTTTTATTTTCAAATTAAGAATTTAAGGGAGATTTTGTGAAATCCAAATTTTTTTTCGATCACGTGAAAGATCGACCAATCAGAAAATTTTAAGATTATGGCCAACAAAATTTTGCGCACATCCAATCAGATCTTTTTATTTATGACAAAAATTTTCGCGTACACAATGTATTTTATATATACAGTTAAAGCTTCGCTATATAGAAATATTCGATTATCAAAAGACAAATTTATATGTTTTGACATATTCATGATGCCAAAAATTTTCGTTATTTCACTATCAGTCGATCAACATTTCACGCAGATCATGGGAGTAAATTTTTTAATATGGGGTCAAATGATTGACGCACCTAAA